GATAGCTAGCGAATCCATCTAGGTGTATTATTTCATCCTCAATTTCATTACAGAGCCAACTTCCTTAAAGCACGACCACACCTAGTTGGGCCTATCCCCGTAGCTTGACTAAGCTGATGAGATCGGCCATATTTCCGATAAGAGATCGGACGTTAGAACTGAGAATGATGGGAACATACAAGCGGGAGATGGTNTGGTTAGTTTCCGAAGAGCAACTTTCCAACCGGCTCGATGCTTCCTCAGATTTTTCGAAAGCTTCCTGAATGTCCTTTTGGTTTTTTCCTTACAGTCCTCCCAAAACAGGTTGTAGCTGCACATTTGGTTCATTTGATGGAATGCACGAGATCCCGGTTGTATTTGATCAAATTTGTCATTACTGTGGTAGCACAACAGTCGCCTTGGTAACCAAGGTAAAAGTTCATGCGAATGACGTAAAAAAAGCTCAGACTAGATTGGTGGACCGCTGGCAGTTCACCTAGGGAAGTTGACCAAAAACCCTGATCCCAAGCCCACCATGAGGAGGCGTACGAACCACACCCCGTCCAAAGGGCGTATGATCCAATGAACTGACCCCCAATAGATTGCGGTTTTCGCACACCGCCCCGCTGCCTTGCGGGTCAGGCTTTGGCTAGCCGAAGGCTCCGGTTGTGAATTCCTCGAGAAAAGTCACCTGCCTTGGCCTGGGCAATCTGGCAGTATTCCCCACATGCAAATCATGGAACGTCTTTCTGTTTCATAAAGATTATTGTATCATGATTTGTTCGGCATACGGTTTGGATTCAGAAATTGTGTGAAAATATATAATATATATGCACAGAACCAATAAAAATGCTTTGCCCCTCAAATGACACTATACCGCATACATTTTCATGCCAATCCCACGGAAAATACTGGGTTGATGCGAAAAAAGTGGGAAAACGGAAAGCTTCGAGTGAGTTGGTCACGACCAAATCAGGCAGCACATTTCCCAATAAAGCTTTTCACTATCATCTTTCGCTGTCATCACTTCACGGATTCTTTCCTTCATGTCCTCATGTTCGCGAAGGAAGGGTGTCTCTCTATCTTGCACCCACGTTCTGATCGAAGCGCTCTCTAAAATTTAACACTCCAAACAATCCTCCAGTAGGGCTCAGATACAGTTGACGTGTTGGTCACGGTAGCACGCACAGAGCGATTAGTTTATTGTTTCACATGCCTCCCAAGGCCTCAGTATGGTTGGGGGTGGGTGTCTAGGGTTGCGGCTGATCGCCCTGCCCTTGCACCTGAAGAAATGCCCCCATACGACCAAGCGTCTCAAATAGCCTCTGCTGAGGAAGCCCTACTCACAGCCTTCTCGCGGCGGAGGTGTTTTCCCACCAAAGTGAGAGGACGAAAAGCCGATATCCGGGGCTATAGCCGGGTTGGTGGACCACTGGCAGTTCACCTAGGGGAGTTGACCAAAAACCCTGATTCCAAACCAACCATGAGGAGACGTACGAACCACACCCACACCTTTTCGGTTGTGGCAGTGGTCACCGGCTCGATTGGGCATTGAGGTGTATTGGGCACCTTGGACGTCTGACCCCGTACGAAGGGCGTGTGATCCGATGAACTGGACACCGGCTCCCAATGGAGTGCGGTTTTCGCACACCGCCCCGCTGCCTTGCGGGTCAGGCTTTGGCTAGCCGAAGGCTCCGGTTGTGGATTCCTCAAGAAAATTCACCTGCCTTGGCCTAGGCAACCTGGCAGTACTCAGCCCACAAGCCAATCATGGAACATTTTGCTCTTTATAAAGATTATTGTACCATGATTTGTTTGGCACACAGTCTGTCCTCAGACAAGTGTGAAATATATATATCTATATATATCGTTTCACATCGTCTTGTCCCTG